TAATTTAATGTTGAGGTAGTTTTTCGGCACGAGTGCGAAGTGCCAGGGTTATAAACATCCGAAACAATAAAATAACACCCTGGCCGATGTTAATATACTATTTTTTCACTACTAGCGCTTTTTTACTTTCTCGTAAATTTACCAGTAACCGTTTTAATTGAGTAATATGAATATTGTTATTCGAAAAATTCACGTTTATGTAAGAAGAGCGCAAGTTATTTTTATGTTGTTTATATTCCAGTAATTAATTTTGACAAAAAAGTTTTTAATTCTACATTTAAAAATTATCCAAATTAAGACTGATATTTAATTTAAAAGAAAATATTGATATAATTGTATTGTATTTTAAATTAATATAAAGTCATTGATTTAAAATAATACCCCTTTTAGATGGATAAATATGTAACTGGCTTGAAAAGAAAATTAAATGAAGCAGAAGCAGAAGGCAAAAGAAAAGATGATGAAAATATCGGAAATACATCTTCGCAAAATAGTAAAACTAAATATAGAAAATATGATCCAATGTACTTATCATTAGGATTTACATATAAGGTTATTAATGGCCAAGAACGACCATTGTGTTTGCTGTGTATGAATACTTTGGCCTCAGACAGCATGAAACCAAATAAATTAAAACGACATCTTGAAAAAGTATATGCAGATCACGTTGGCAAGACGAGAATTTTTCCAAAGAAAATTAGAGAATTTAAATAAACAACAAGAAATTTTTTCAAAAACCATGTCTGTAACACAAAAAGCATTGCTTGCGTGATATAAAGTTTCTTATAGAATTGCTAAATGCAAAAAACCCCATTCAATAGGAGAAACTTTGGTGCTACCTGCAGCTATTGACATGATAGAAACGATGCTCGGTGAATCATATGCTGATCAACTTAAAATCATTCCACTTGCAGATAATACAGTGGGAAGATGAATATCTGATATATCTGAAGATCTTTGCGGTCAATTAATAGAAAAAGTAAAACTATCTTCTTTCGCGTTGCAAGTAGATGAGGATACCAGTGTTCTTAAGGATGCACACTTGATAACATAATGTAAGATACGTTGTGGAAACTGATGTTAGAGAAGACATGTTATTCTGTAAACCTATTGAATGCAATACTACAGCAAGGGAAGTTTTTAAAATCATTGATAATTTTTTAAATGAAAATGGCATTCTGTGGGAGAACTGTGTTGGACTATGCACAGATGGAGCTCCATTTATGGCAGGAAAAAATGCTGGTCTACAGGCACTAGTTCAAAAGGTGGCTCCTCGTGCAGTTTGAATGCATTGCATGATTCATAGACAATCATTTGTTTCAAGAGATATGGGTGAAGATCTACTAACAGTATTTGAAGTTATTACAAGAGTTGTAAATTTTATCAAAAATAGCCCATTAAGAGGAAGGCTTTTCGCAAAATTGTGTGATGACATAGGTTCAGAATATAGATCACTTCTATACTATTGTGAGGCACGTTGGCTTTCTCGTGCCAAAGTACTTCAAAGGGTGTTTGAGCTAAAAGAGATCGCCATATTTCTTAGTGATAATAATAGAGATGAAGCACACTTGTTTTATGACACGAAATTCCTTGTAAAACTTGCGTATTTTGTTGATATTTTTCAAAGACTCAGTATTTTAAATAAATCAATGCAAAGAGCTCAAATTCATGCTTTTATGCAGAAAGACAAGATTACTGCATTTATGAAAAAATTGGAACTGTGGATAATAAGTTTGAAAAATAATAACTTTGACATGTTTCCCACTTTTAAAATTACCTGTCTTGCTGATGAAATAGAAGAAAGTAAAGTTCTTATTAATAATCATTTGACGAGTCTATGGAAGCAATTCTCGTTGTACTTTAAAGATCTTGACATGTCCAAATATGAATGGATTAGAAGCCCATTTGTGATTGAAAAATATGATGAGTTTGGCCTTACGACAGCAGAGCAGGAAATGATAATTGACTTATCTAGTGATAGCACATTAAAGCAGATGTTTCAAGATGAAAATAATATTGTTACGTTTTGGCTACGAGTAAAGGACGATTTTCCTACTTTGACAACAAAGCTTTAGAAATTTTATTGCCAATGTGAAACTGGTTTTTCTACAGTAGCTGTCTTAAAAACAAAGTATCGATCTCGCTTAATGATTGAAAAGGAACTGAGAACCGCGATTTCTTCAATGATACCACGGTTTGAGAAAATTTGTGCTGAAAAACAAGCTCAGCCGTCGCATTCAATTTTTATGTTGTAGTAGTATTATTTATATATATTCTTTTTTTGTTTTGTTATTATATTTCTTATAATAAATATATTTTTACATAATATTGTATATTATTTTGTAGCCCATTAAATAAATTATAATATCAGTTGAGTATTTATGAAATTTGATTTTAAGATAAATTAACGGGATGCAACAATTTTTTTTTAAAGGGGGGAACCGTTACAAAAAGGTTGGAAACCACTGAAATATATTCACAAAGAACATATACTGAAACTCCAAAACTTGACATTTAACTTTCACTTTGAACTAATTAGTAATATTTTGCTCTTTTAGATGGTAAGGTCCTAGATTATAACATAAATATAAATAAAAATATTCAATGAAATATACAGGGTTGCCACTCAAACAGGAGAATGAAATTCCTTGACTTTTCCAGGTTTTCCAGGTATGTTTCAAGAAAATTCCAGTCTATCCGCGTAATGTACGTTGACTGTGCTAAGAGGTAAATTAATTATGGTATTAATTGTACTGTGTAGCAAATTCACTTAATTATTCAATAAATCCCAGAGGACATTTATTCTTAATTATTCTTGGTACACTTTGTTTGATAATTTTGTTTAATTTTCCACTTAAGAAACTTAATAAAATTTAAGATATATACATTGGATAACAACTGTACGTTTTATTTAATTATTACTCATGATCATCAAAAGTTCAACATGAGGCTAATCCGGTTCTTATAAATCACAACGCAATGCTAAAAGTTAGGTTAGATTTTAGGTAAATTTAATTTGCGTGAGGTGTCTTCTTACAAGGCACCTTAACACTTGAAAACACAAATATAATTATAATAGGAGTAGTTTCCTCCACTGAAGATTAAGATTAGAATCTGCCCAATCTGGAATAAAATAAGGCTTTTTTTGCAGACATTCTGCAACTAAACGAAAGAAAGAAATCTATTTAGTGATTTTTTTTTTTAACTAAATTGAGGTATTTTATATTTATTTCGCAGCATACATAAGGAAAAAATATGTGCACTAAATTTCGTGATGTCATCATACTGCTAGAATTAATTTCAGGATTATGCCAGAGAAAATTTCCTAAAACTTGAAAATATTATTTACTAATGATAAATAAATTTAGAGGGAAGAAGCAACATTAAATGATATGAATAACATAAAAATAAAGATAATTACTTAAAAACTGAATTAGAATAATCGATATTTTAGCCAATATAGTTTTATATTACATGGTTAGCCTAGATGACTGATTACTATTTTTTTATTTTACTGCAAAATGACAAGGTATTTATTAAAAAAAAAAAAAAAAAAAAAAAAAAATTTGCGGTAAAATCCTAGCATATGGTACGGCCTTCGCACGATTTTGAAAATTGTTGCCAAGAACAAAATGACCCATTTACTGCTCATCATCATGTCGCCAAATCCCGCTGTACCATACATGGAGATTATTCTAACCAAAGAACGTCTATGTAAAAAGCGGAGGGAAAATCTGGCAAGGGATTTGGCAATGGAACCCGGCAGCCAGAATTTCCCTCTCCGCGATGTCTATAGGAAATTGAGAAACACGTGTTAAGAAGAAGCGTTCTTTGACAAAAAAGAAAACTACAAAAACCCGTTTTTAAATTTTAAAATATTTAAATAATTTTAAAAATGGATTTTCGTAGTTTCCCCCCTCAAAATAACTAAATCCATGATTAATTTACTTGCGCCAAAAATATTTTCTTTTCCTTCAGAGTTTAAAGAAATTTTAAACGATATTCATTTTTATGAACTCTTGATAACGTGACCTTCGAACTTCGACACCGGTTTCGAGCTTTGGCGACAGATATATCGTGCATGCACAGCTGTTTCCCTTTATGATGGAACGGAGCCACGTCTGATGCAGAGAGGTTTTCCTTCTTTACAATACATATTTTTTTATTCTAACCTTCATGGTACTGTATACTAGGATTAAACCCATTTTGTTTTATACGAGAACAGGTACTTTATTTAGTTCATGCACTGCACATGCGATTCTCGAGGTTACTGGAAATCAAAAGTTGCGGGAAACTTGCTTTTCCTTTCTAAAAGACAATCAAATTGGAGCTGCAAAAATTGGCTCTATGCCAGCTGACACACGTGATACACAATTCGCCAAAAAGTGATGTCTCCCGACATCGGCGCAAAACTCGCCTTTTTTTGGCGGGATCGTTGTATGAAATTCCCTGACTTTTCCAGATTTTGACTAAAACACTTAAATTCCCCGACTTTTCCATGAATTTTCTGGTCAATTTCCGAATTCCCAGACTTTTCCTGGTTTTCCAGGTAGCGTGGCAACCCTGAATATACGTGAAAGTTTTCATTCATATTTAAGCAAGAAGAAATTTCTAAACAGTTATCTATTACAAGAATCTAGAAATGATTTTAAAATCCTATACCTTTTCCCAATAATTCATTAAAAAAAAAGGATACAAATGCATGTCAAGATTAGAAGTTTAACTGAGCTTTAGATAAGGAAAATATCTGTGGCTAGAAATTTAGGATGGATTTAAAAATCTAAGATTGGTTATAATGAATGAAAATATTAACATGCGTGTATTACAAGCATATGTAAACATGTGAATGGATGCCAGACTATAATAAGAATTACACTGAATAAGAGCTTTGATTAAAAAATTTAACTACTTTCAATGGACAAAAATCTGAATTTATAACATGTAAAAAAGGACAATATAATATATTCTTAAGGAGAATAAACGTGAATACGAAAACTTACTTTCATTAACTTCAATATCCCTTGTGATTTCAGACTGTTTAATATAAACATTGCTCTGATTTTTTCGAATTCTTGTGACATTTTTCTTTTTACTTTTGACTTTTGCTTTGGGAACTTCAGAAATTTCTTTTCTTTTCCCCTTCTTCTGTAAAGTAATTTGGTTGAGACCTGTTTCAGATGCTTCGAAATCTAGTTTCAGAAAAGAAAGGATAAATATTTAAAACAACCGAATTTTTCACAGAACACTAACTTATAACACTAACATAAAAAAATAAATAAATAACTGAAATGAATGAAATGCTGCACATCATTATCCTTTGTATCCTCATTATCTTATCATTATGTTCACATATACTGCAAAAACTGAGGATAATACTCATAATATTATCCAATTAACTGTGAAAATTCCCCAAAATACCACTAATTTTGACTGTGTAATTCTGAGCCACACTCTGTCTGCAACTCTTACAACAAAACAATCATCAGTCTCTCTGCACAATCCACCACATAGACATTCCTGCGAAAGTATTCGACTAACTTTATTTTTGCACTTTGTAAAAAGGCTTCTGACCTATTTTGAAAGGCCCTTCAATTTTACAGGAAGGTCTATTTAGACCACTAGGAGTACAAATTTCCAGCAGGTAATTTTTCCAATCCATTACTGTTTTGTTGGTTATATACAGCTGTTCTTTCCCCTATTTAATAGATGTTAATCCTCTCAACCACCTGTAAACGAACCGGACTGCAGCCAAAAATAGATATACCTACAGGCCTTGAACCACATTTCTTTCTGAATGGATATTCTCTTGTCACAATTTTTCACACTGCAATGGAAGTGTTTAACCATTTTCAAATAAAATATGACATAATGTCTATTACTACACTCTTTTTGATGGTACCACAGCTTTGAAAATAACCCGCTGCTTGTTGTTCTACAGAAAGCTGGTTTCAGATCTTGATCATCTTTTTCAAAATGTGAGAGGAAAATACAGCAATAAGAATTAATTTAGATCCTTGTTCATAAAAACAAAAGGTGGCATACTGAGAATGAAATGGGATTATATCAAACAAAAACGTAGATGCTATGAATGTGTTCAGATGTCATACTGATCCTAAATTGCACTGCTAGGTGACAGTTTCACAGTCAAGGGGATAACATGCAAGTACAAAAATTATTTTAAGAATTATATATCTATTCACATATCTAGAGTTCTAGAATTTTTAATTCTAATTTTCCTACATGTAAACAACATTTCTCCATGTGGTGAATCCACCTCAAAAGCTGTTACATTCAACAAAATCTCTAATTATTTTAAATCAAATTTTATTTTCTCCAATTTTTTTACTTCTTATTTATTTAGCCTAAGTAATTTATACTGGAAAAAATCCCATTCTGCTGACCAACAAGAAACATGAAATTTGCATTTCACAGCATATACACTTCGCAGGTAAGAGTAATAACACCTCAATGTGGCACAAAAAGGCAGATTGAAATGCATATTTTTCATTCAGAAATCATGTTTAGGCATCTGTGTTGGAATTTTTGCTATTGTTACTGTAAGAAGAAACTCGCAGTTCATCTTATAATCCAATTGCAGGTAAATTATAGCTTACTGGGACCGCAAATAATTCTGTTGCACAACTGCTGTTTACACTGTTCGATATCCAGGGACTGTTACAAAAATTTGGAATCAATGGGCCTAGAAGGACCACAAAAAGAAGCATGCATTGATCTTATCTGCCATATTCAACACATACCCAAGATAAACTAGTACTCAGTGTCTTGACTGTACACCTACAGCATATACCTGGGTCAGGAAATTTGGTCTATCGTAATGCATCAAGTACCCTCATGTACAGTGCAATGACACCTCTAAAACTACAGAAAGTTACAATTATAAGGAAGGTGATGATATTTTTGATTTTCCTTGATGCTATAGACACAGGAATAAACACCTACAATGAGGTGTCCAAAGTTGCACAAGGATATTTTTCTGATGAAGCCTGCTTTTGCTTACAGTATTACAATGGCCGTACCTGCATATGGAGATATACTACAAAGACGGAAGACTGGAAGCTTGCACTCAACATCATATTGGCCAAGCACCTGGACTGATGATGGTAGAGGGTGCCATTGTGTACACATTCCCTTCAATTATAGCCATCATTATTACACACAATAATAATAATTTTTATTATGTCTGCATTAGCCAGTTATTAGCCCATAATAATAATTATTATTATGTGTTGCTTTGAACAACTACCATTACTTTACCAAACCTCTCAATAGAAAATGCAAAGTTGCACATTGTTCACAATACCCTGCACTTTGTCAATACACAGAGTGCTCGTCTCCTGCCCTAGCCAGTTATTAGCCAACTCTCTCACTAATGGAAGACATGACCAATGGTTGCTGAACAACTGATAAAAACACATCCACCAGCTGTCATACTGGCCACATGGACAGTAATATATAAAATTATCATTCCAGTGTTTCCAATTCAATGCACATGTGCTTTTGTTGTCAAAGGTAAATGCTTTGTAACAGATTTAAATAATATTAAAATCTTGTAGTTTAAATAATTTAAATAGATGAACATTAAGGTATTTGTGAATGGCAATATTTGAAACCAGACTCGAGTGCCTCGTGCGACTCTCGCACGAAGAATGTAATTTATTTTTAAATGTTAGAATAGTTTTTTTTTTTTTGCTTGTATGTCGCCATTTTTTTGAGTGCTAAATAAACGTTATTTCTGTGTTCCATCATTGGAGTTGCTTCATATTGCAAAAGAAGATCACAGTCATAATTATTTTGGAGGCACCGACCAAGATCGAATAATCGTGCGTATTTTTATTTTATTAGTTCATCACTGAACATAATATTAGTGATACCAGATTATTACTTCCTGTTCATAAAGATTGCTTTATTTATTAGTTCATCACTGAACGCATATTAGCGATACCAGATTATATTTCCTGTTAATATTAAATGTCTTATTTTATTACCGTATTTGTATTATATTTAATATTCATTTTAGTTGTGCAGACGGTAGATATTTATGCTGCTATGTTGTTATTCTTATTTTAGTGACAATTAATGTGGTAGAGAGAATGAACTTCATATAATTTAAATATTTCATTTTTGAGCTATTTTGAGGAAATATAAGGAACACAGTGTTCGTTAATTTGAAACATAAAAAAATGTCCTACTTGGGAAGAGCTCGTAAGGAAGATTTGCAAAATCTCGCGGCTGAACTGGGAGTTCATGTGACTGCAGATATGAAAACAGTCAATTTAAAACAGAAAATTGTTGAAAGTAGTGATTATGATGAAGTATTCGTCAAAGGAGTCTTAGCCACAATAATAGAAGAACGGAAAAGAGAGGGGAAAAGAGAAAGAGAGAGGAAAGGGAAAGAGAAGAACGGAAGGAGAGAGGGAGGGAAAGAGAAGAACGTAGGAGACAGGAAGAAGCAGAAGCAGAAGGCGGAGAGGAGAAGGAACGAACAGCATGAATTAGAGAGATTAAGACTTGAAGCAGAGACAAAGTCTCAAAATACCGGACAGATCCGGCCGAAAACGGAGCTGCGTCACCTTATGCAGAAATTCAATGACAAGAAAGGAGATATCAGTCTATATTTGCTATTGTTTGAAAGGCAAGCAGAATGGGCTAAAATTGATAAAGAAGAATTTGTATCTCATTTACTAGGACTACTTCCTTACGAAGTAACCCAGTTAATAGCTAGAGAACCCTCTGATAAAGCTAAAGACTATGTAACTACGTTCAGAATTTATTTTATTATTTAATGTATGATCAACTGTTGTATTTGAACGTTCTCCATTTTTTCTTTTTAAATGTGGTGTAAAAGTATTTGTTTAAAACTCAAAAATTTTGGCCTGAAGTTTGGAAATTTATTAGAGAAGTTACCTTTTCTCTTTAAGCAAATGAGCAAGCCGAGCTTATAAACTTTCAAAATTTACAGAACTTTTCCCTTCGGCAAAAGTCCCTCCGTTGGGGGAGAGGTTGTAACAGATTTAAATAATATTAAAATCTTGTAGTTTAAATAATTTAAATAGATGAACATTAAGGTATTTGTGAATGGCAATATTTGAAACCAGACTCGAGTGCCTCGTGAGACTCTCGCACGAAGAATGTAATTTATTTTTAAATGATAGAATATGTTTTGTTTTTTTTTTGCTTGTATGTCGCCATTTTGAGTGCTAAATAAAATTTTTTCTGTGTTCCATCATTGGAGTTGCTTCATATTGCAAAAGAAGTATCACAGCTTGCACCGATTTCTCCATATTCTGTACTTCAAAATTACCTAATTTTAATCATTTCAGTCTTCAGTCTCCCATCATAGTGTAGTTGTAAAAAAATTTTATTCTGCAAACTGACTTGTTTTATATTGTATCATTTAAATGGGCAGCAAAGTGCATTTCCTTATTAGTTGTAAAAAGGAAAATGACTTTTACGTAACAGTACAAATAAATTTAAAAAAAATCATTTTAAGCATTGAGAAGAAGTATATGAAAACTAACTTCTAAATCCTTTGTGACTCAAGAGTATCAGCATCAATTACATTTTCCTTAAATTCTTATAACACTTTTCTTTTCACTTTTAATCTGTACTCTTAGATGTATCAATTGTACCATTCCTTTTCCTCATACTTGATGTCAAGATAATTTAATTGAGATCTACTTTAGGTGCCTTAAGGCCTTGTTTGAGGTAAAAAGTGGCAGTATATTTCAACAAATTAATTTATTTTTCAACATGAATATTATAAAATCCACAAAATAAATCCAACTAGCAAAAAATGCAATGTGTCATTACTTAAAGAAATCTAATTTCATGCTTCAAAGATAAATAAATACAAGCTATTCACATTTCTGTTATACAGGCAAACATTCTTTGGTATCTACTGAAAACACTAGAAATGTCTAAATAAAGTAATCAAAGAGCTGTGTAGTTACACATCCCATGATTTCCACATTCATGATAATTTGCTTTAACCCTTTGAGAGGCGGTATATAAAATAATTTAAATTGTAGCAAAATTTTGCATGAACTACAACTTATGGACCCTAAGGACACAAAATTGAGACTTAAAAAAAATCTACAGCGAAATCCTGAATTTTGAGGAGCCCAGTATACATTTTATACCGGCGCCCCTATCTAAGACATTTGTTTCCCAGGTAGCTGCCAATTGTTAATTTTCTGTTTATTTAAAATCTATTTTTGCGGACTTTTGATGTGCATCTATAGTAGATGATGAGTTGCTTGAGTACGATTATGTAAGTCTGAAGGCAAAAAAACTTTTAAAATTTCACTAGAAATTTAAAATGGTAGAAATTAAAAATTTTTAAAAAAATTTTATGTTTTTATGCACTTTGATGATGCCAACCCAGCTGAACATACTTATGTAAAATATGGGTAAAAGGCTTTTCAAAATGATTTAAATTCATTATTATTTTATAATATATATATATAACACTGCATGCGTAAATCGTATCATGCTGTAAACTGAACTAGTATAATATTACAAGCAGATGTAACTCAGCCGAAAATTTAAAAAATTTAAAAATGAAACGCTATGACTCAGCTGAGAAAGTATGCTGCATTTTTGAAGTTGTATTTTATGCTTTAGATAATATGTGGAAAAAACACCATGCTTCATACTATGATACGAAGAATCCCCCCCCCTCGACGCGTACTTACTTCAGATGATTGATTACTGTAAGCGTCCCTTTCTTATTTTTTGTAAATATAGGTTGTAATATATCTTTTTGTTCAGGAAGAAACGCCGTTAAACAATTGTATTATTTGATACACCTCAAAGCTCTTATTCCAATTTTCAACCCCTTTGGCTTCCTAGAGGCTCCTTTTCAACTTTTGGATAAACGTGGCATCTAAAACAGGCCTTAGAAATATTTTCCCTCCTTTCGACAACTGTGAAAATTTATCTCGGGAACAACCTATTTGTATCAACCAGAGGGCAAATTTCTCTAGTCTTTCATCTGAAATTAACAAAGAATTAAAAAGAATTTCCCTAAAGAATAAAAGCATTTCTTCAAACCAGCAGTTTTTGTGATTACACTATGAGATGGAACTTAAGTACATTTCCATTTTATGCGAGCTTTCCCTTTGTGTGATCTTATCACACCTCACAAAGGGAAGAAATGACTCCCGAATAAGAAATTGGTTGTCAATCACCTCTTTTCATTTTCCTTGCATTCTAGGATTTTGGAGAAAACGAAGCAACGGGTGTCTTTTGCGGGCTAGCATGCCACATTTAACACCCACAATTGTGTAAAGTTTTGACCCCAGACGGCAATTTTGAAATCGATGAGTCTTTCTCTTGGGAAAGGGATAAGTGCTGAAATAAAAATTTTAGCTAAACGCAGACTTATGAAACTTGAGCTGAGTACACAAAGAATAAATGAAGCTATTATACTTGTATTCAGTCCTAGTGCAGGGTCAGTAAACTCCTCATTCCTTCATGAACATAATATTTAATCCTAAACGACTTATAAATTAAACATGAAAAATTATTACACCATAAACTGTTATAATAATAAAGAAATTCTGTCATGTCACAGAGTAGAAATGAGAAGACTGGTGCTGCCATCTATTGGCGTGGTACCCTCAGTGTGGGTGAAGGTATATATTATATACTGGTTTTAAAATAGTATAAATAATCTTTTGTTAATTATCACTTCTGACTGAAATGAAGTAATATATAAGATACAGCATGTGTACGTCATCATATATTTGCAGATTTTGAATTTTTTCTTTTCCTCTAATAGAATTTATAAATCTTCCAACATGATACCTTGGAACTAGGTATATTAATTTCATAACTGAAAAATACTGAGCATTCATAGGGTGATGTTGCCATTTAGTATCAAAAGCAAACACTAGACACTTACGATTATAGCTTTTGGTGTAGAAAAATTAGCATTTTTTCGGAGGTTAAAAAATTGATCGGTGCCCTTCAAAGGGTTAGCGAATTTAATTATACTTCTTCATTTTCACCCAAATGCTGAAACACATAACACTAGTTTTTTTATGTGTACACTCTTCCCCCCATTTTTTATTATTAACTTTTTTTTTATTTGCTGACTTTTTCAAGAGGTAATTTACTGATGAGTAATACTGAAAGAATACCTCTTGGAGAGGAACAATGATTTTAATCAATAATACAAATCTACAGATGTACAATATAAATAACCTTGGAACTAGGTATATTAATTTCATAACTGAAAAATACTGAGCATTCATAGGGTGATGTTGCCATTTAGTATCAAAAGCAAACACTAGACACTTACGATTATAGCTTTTGGTGTAGAAAAATTAGCATTTTTTCGGAGGTTAAAAAATTGATCGGTGCCCTTCAAAGGGTTAGCGAATTTAATTATACTTCTTCATTTTCACCCCAAATGAAAACACATAACACTAGTTTTTTTATGTGTACACTCTTCCCCCCATTTTTATTATAACTTTTTTTTTATTTGCTGACTTTTTCAAGAGGTAATTTACTGATGAGTAATACTGAAAGAATACCTCTTGGAGAGGAACAATGATTTTAATCAATAATACAAATCTACAGATGTACAATATAAATAATACTACATCATTTTAAGCATCATAAAGCAGTATCTGAAACTTACTTTCATGACTTTCAATTTCTACATCTTTTGTAACTTCAGCATTAACACAAATAGGATTTTCTTTTCTTATCTTCTTGCTTTTAGTTTCTGCTTGAGCAGTTTCGGATGCATCTTTTCTTTTCCTTTTCTTTGATGGAAAGGCAATGTCTTTTGCATTTGTTTCAAATAATTCAACACCTTTTGAGATTTAAAAAAAAAAATCTTATAAATTTCAAGCATTTATTTATTTTTGCTCAAATCAAACATCAACTTAAATAACATAACAGAGATGACAATAAATTACATTATTATCGGAAGACATCTAATAACACAATTCACAGACATGCATTGTGAAACTTAGTTAAGGATTTTCTAGATTGTTTTAACTTAAAAATTCTAAAAAATTACAAATTTCTTAGAGGAAAATTTGAGGAAGGTGATATAGACCTTTCTCAAAACCCTCTATATGCACCAGATCCTGTTCTTCATGACTTTTTTTTAATCATTTATTTATTTATCTTTAAATAAAGGATTACGAGCACAATTAGGATAAATATGTTCGTTGCTAGAGAAACAAGCTTAAATAATAATACAAATATAAAATGGTACAATAAAAACAATTAAATTAAACACTCACGAATGAGTATATGAAAACATACTTTCAAGAAATGCTGTATCCTTTGTCAATTTGGAGTGTACAACATTAACATCATTGAGATTTCCTTCAATTTTTATGGCATTTTTCATTTTACTTTTAGTTTTTGCTGTAGAAGTTTTAGATGAAACTTGTCTTGTCCTCATCTTTGATGGTAATGCTGTCTGTTTGAAACGTGCTTCAGATGACTCAGGATCTGGTTTTAGGTAGAAAATTGTTATATATTTCAATTAAATTATCATTCTTCCAATCTTAATGCTTAAATTAAAAAAATTAAACTGTTAACTTACACACTGAATGATAACTTATATTTAAAAAGCAATAAACTTGGCAAAAATGCAGGATGTTACATAAAAATATTAAAAATTAAGAATTGCAAGGTTTCTTCACACGTAACAATGCTTTTATTTATTTCTGCTATACGGGGAAGAGGGGAATTCTTCAGTTCACGACCAAGACTCATATTTTGCATTCATCACAAAGCTAATTAGTAAACTTAATTAATATCTTGCTTTTTTCACAACTAACCGGCACTCGACTTGGCTGCAGCGCCGTGGGTGCCCAGTGATGCGACCAATAGTAAAATACATAATTAGAGTAAATATCGATACTGATAAATTTTAAAATAGTACCATTGTTACTATAATACTTTGAAGAGTAATAAATCGTAAAAATTTAAATTATAAATCGCAATAACGGTCTACAATACCTTGGGGGTCACCGGTAACTCCCACCACGAAAAATTCATTAAGCACGATGATATAACTCACATTATCTTTGGCAGATAATATTTGAACATAATACGCATAACATAATAAAAAGTTCAAGTAGTGTCATGGGCAAACCATGTCAGATGCGTGTGGCAGTCAACGTGTTAAACACATAATGATTTTTACACTTATTTACACACTTATGCACAGTACTCAAAACATGGTACTAAAACTGTTGGTACCTTTTCCCTTCATTACTTCTGCTTAATAAAGGTATTCATTGCTAAATTAAACAGTGTATACTCATTGAAAAGGAATAATGAGTTAGAAAATAATATAAACCTAAATATGAATAATGAAATGAAACATAATGAAAGAGTACCTTAAAACTTACATTTTTCAAATTCTACATTTTTTAAAACGCCAGATTGTTCAGTATTAGCACATATGAGATCTCCTTCCTTTTTTGTGACAATTTTTTTCCTGCTTTTAGTTTTTCTTTCAGAAGTTTCAGCTGTATCATTCCTTTTTCTCTTCTTTGATGATAAAACAATGCTTTTAATTTTTCTTTCCGAAGTTTCAGCTACATCTTTCCTTTTCCTCTTCTTTGATGATAAAACAATCTGAGTCAAATCTGTTTCACTTACTTTGGAACCTAGTTATAAACAGAATTGATTAGTTTTAGAAGTTTCGGTTCTTAACAACTTTTTTAACTTGAGTACTAGCTTATGTAAAAGAAATATACAAAAGGTCACAATGAAATATTATATAAAGACATCTAATTGCATGTTTCATAAAATATTTCAGAAAAATAAGAGGGCTCATAGTGTAAGGTATTTTCTCTCTCCTTACCACATGTCTTTGTGGTGTAATTGGAAAATTCGGAATTCAAATGCTAGTGAAGGTATAGCTCATTCTTCATGTATCCCAGCTTCGCCCCCCAAAAAGACAGTAGTAGTAACTGCCATTATGAACAATATTTACAACAGAACTTAGGACCACATGACACTCAAGAGTATCAGAAAAATGTACAGTTAAAAGTTCAAATTGATCTTTTTAAAAGTGAAAGAAAGAGAATTAATGAAATCATATGCTGAAACATCCCAATCAGATCGGTAAAAAACTTAGAGTACAAAAAAGTAAAAATTTAAACTGCAGGCGGAAGATAATATCATATGCTAGTTAAAAAAATGAAAAATGAAAAAAAATTCCAAAATACAAGGATACCAATAATTTAAGCAAAATATGATACAGAACAAACTAACTTACTTCCATAAAGTTTATGTGAATTCACTGCTTTAGAGTTTTCAATACATTTAATGCTGCTATCAAGCATGTTTTCTTCATTTTTTAAAACATTTTCCTTTTCATTTCTATTTTGTTCTTTAAAAGCTTCAGCTATAACTCTATGTCGTCTTGTTTTTTCCTGTGATGGCAAAATAATTTGATCCGGGTCCACTCCAGGTGCTGAAGGACCTTTAAATTAAGCTTTTATTATAGCAAATGAATGATATAAGTTCTATTAACTCTCTGACTGGCTCGGATTTTTGTTAACAAAGCATAAATTTCCCAAAACTACTACGAGAAAAATTATTTTCTTGATTTTGATGTAAAAATTCTCATGGTGTTTTATACCTGGATTTGTGTACTTTTAATATATTACCATAATTTTCTTGACATATTTTAATATGCACATTTTAATATATATTCTTACACATATCACAAAAAATATTCTAAGCCGTATCAGAGAGTTAACAAAAACTTCAGTTTGATTAATAGCTAAAAAGAGTTGAAAATTTAAATTGCAAAAGGTAGAAGATATACATATGCTGTTAAAAAACAAAATAATGGAAAGCATTTGAAACATAAAAATTAACCAAGATAAGGTAAAAAGAACAAACTCACTCACTTTCACAAGGTTTTGGTGAATTTACTGCAACACTTTTAATATTACCATCAACCACATTTTTAGCTTTTAAAGCTTCTTTCTTTTCACTTCTATTTTGTTCTATAGAAGCTTCAGTCTTAACTCTACGACTTCTTGTTTTCTTCTGCGATGGTAAAATATGATTCTGATTCACTCCAGATGCTACAGGACCTAATTTAGGTTAAATGTTTTACTCCTGTGTGCAAATTATATAACTTGCTTAAATTAATAAAAGCTTTAATATTCCTCTTAATTCTGTATAGCACTTAGCAATGTTAAAAAAATATTGGAAAACATTTGAAACACAAGAATTGAGCAAGATAAGGTAAAAAGAACAAGCTCACTCACTTTCATAAGGTTTTGGGGAATTTACTGTTTTAGCGACTGCAACACATTTAATATTACTGTCAACCATGTTTTCAGTTTTTAAAGCTTTTTTCTTTTCGCTTCTATTTTGTTCTGTAGAAGCTTCAGTCATAACCCTATGCCTTCTTGCTTTCCTCTTTGATGGTAAAATATGATTGTGATCCACTCCAGATGCTACAGAACCTAATTTAGGTTAAATGTTTTACTCCTGTGTGCAAATTATATAACTTGCTTAAATTAATAAAAGCTTTAATATTCCTCTTAATTCTGTATAGCACTTAGCAATGTTAAATTATTGGAAAACATTTGAAACACAAGAATTGAGCAAGATAAGGTAAAAAGAACAAGCTCACTCACTTTCATAAGGTTTTGGCGAATTTACTGTTTTAGCGACTGCAACACATTTAATATTACCGTCAACCATGTTTTCAGTTTTTAAAGCTTTTTTCTTTTCGCTTCTATTTTGTTCTGTAGAAGCTTCAGTCATAACCCTATGCCTTCTTGCTTTCCTCTTTGATGGTAAAATATGATTGTGATCCATTCCAGATGCTACAGAACCTAATTTAGGTTAAATGTTTTACTCCTGTGTGCAATTATATCACTTGCTTAAACTCATAAAAACTTTAATATGCTTCATGATTTAAAAAAAAATAATCAGAAAAACATATAGAATTTAAATTAATACAAGAATTGAAATCATAATGATATATATATACAAAAATATATTATAATAATCATAATAATGATACAAAAATATATATTAAAATAATTTACACTGATATAAAATTGAATATAAGTTAATTGCAACATAATATGTATAGATAAAGAAATAAAATAGCTAAAAAATATATAAGGCAAACGTACCAAAAACAGACAATGTAGTAAGGTAGCAGATATTCTAATTTTAAATGGCCTAAGTAACTTTCCATACTTTTTAAACAAAGATAAAAATACTGATAGGAGGTTAGTGAACCAATCTACACAAGTTTAAAGAAATTATGATGTTCCCTTATTTATATTTGCTATTTATGCTTATGCCAGATTCCTTTAATATTAAACAAATACAAATAATGCAGATTAAAAATATTGGAAATTTGTAAGCTATATATGATATGAAAGGCAACAGAAACTTACTTTCATTAGCTTCAAATGAATTTATTATTTCAACATCTGCAATGCAATTGATCTTATCATCAGTCAGATGTGCTTCGCTTTTAAAATCTTTTTCCCTTTTATTTACAGTTTTTGCAGCAATAACTCCAGATAGGTTTTTATTCTTTCTTATTCTCTTCTTTGCCACATGCTTAATTTCATTAAGATCAATTCCAGTGCTGGCAGAACCTAATTTAAGGTACAAAAATACATTTAATCGGTTCATTTCATATAGAAACTAAATACTCATGTTTAAAAAATAAACAAATGATAACTTGAAAATAAATCAGCTGATGGAACTATCATCATATAATAACTACATATAGTTTTAAAATTAAATTTCTGCATTAGAGATTCATTCATAAATTTTCTGAAAATTAACACTTTTACTACATGTCTAGGCTCAAACTAACATATAAGAACATCCTGAGACAGTTACTGAATCGCAGTACGATGGAGTATGGTTTTGTGAATATTGCTGATTTCTTGACACATTGATGAGAATAGCCTTGAATTTGTATGGGGGGATTTGATGAAATTGCCAACTTTTACAGAATCATTCCAAACCTCTTTCATACTAACAGGAAGGTTTAGATGCTGGATCTTGATGAATGCAACAATGTGTCCACTTTACTGAAAGGATTATTGCTTTGACACATCCAAGGACACCTGAGTACCAACCTGACACAGACTTGCTATGTCAGGACTTAAACCATAGCTCCTTTTATAGTTCAATGCTCGCAAACACAATCCTGGTTGGCATTCTGCGAAAACACTTAGAATTCTCCAAAAAGAGTGTTGATTACATGCTGCGGGGTGAGCGGTCAGATGAGGATCTTCTCTCCACTAAAACACTAAAAGAGGGAATTTACTAGTACATGAGAGAAAGTACCTGTGTCAACGGGAGGATCCTGTCATCACATGCTTCTTGTACCTTTAACCCCTTCAAGCCGGGTAGCGAAAACATGCGCTTATCGCGGAGGCCGGCAGTGTCTTACGCGAGCGTTTCTCCAGGGCCGCGGGCTTTTTTGCTACTAAGCCTAAATCCATGAAATTTCTGAAGTATAAACGTATTGTTTAATAATGCTTTATAGAGTATTTAAACAGCTTATGCTTTATAGATATTTATATATATATACTTTAATTACCTTATTTCTTGTTTAAATGCATATTTTACACATTTTATTTTAATTACTCACCATTTTATGACTTTTAACATTATACATCTGAAAACTATATATATTACTTAAAATTCTCTTTTCGTATGAAAAATTTGAAAACAGGGATCTACACACAGTCCTACGTTACATTCCTTGCACTCGTAATAACTCATTTGCCGTTTTGGAGGATTTTTCTGGGAATGTGAACAAACGAAGCATCGTCGTCTCATTTTCTTATCAGTCTCTTCTGAACAAAGTTTTGGAAAACATCTTTCAGAATCAATATCTGAAATATTTTGCATCATTTCTGCTATTTCATGCTCTGTTAAAAATTTTCGACGCTTCGACATTGCAACGGTAAAACCATAAAGAATTCACGTCTAACAAGATCTAATTATTTTCTAAAAACTGAACTGTAAACCGAAATACTCAACGCTTTAGCACATATAAATCTTCTACTTACAATAAACAACTACCACGTGCGAATAAAGTGCGATTTAACGAGACGTCATAAATCACGCCATTCGAAAACATTTAGTTCCCCGTTTGTTTACATAATCAAAAACACGTGTATGTGAGTCATGCTTCTCTCATTTCGAGTAGAAGGTCTAATGTACATGTATCTGAAACCATATGGACAGACAGTGCCATCTTGTGGCAGAAATTATAGTTTTTAAAACGTTCCAGGACACTGGCACAAATGCGTGACAGTCGGTAGTAAACGGAAAAATGCTCTGGCACGCCTGCGTGTCGGCCGGTAAATAAGTGTGTTCGTTGCTGGCACGTATACGTGACAGTTGGGGCGAAGGGGTTTCCATCGCTTACTTTAAAAAATTATGAAACAATATTTTTAGCATAAGTATACTTTCTTCAGCAGAGGGAAAAAGAAAAGAAAAGAAAAAAAAAGGGGGGGTCACCAATTTTTCACTTTCTTTGAGCGGGTTATATCCAGATCATAGTTGATTTAATGTGGCAATGGTCACTTGTTGCTGTTAGACCTAGCTAGTCCTGTGGTGCCATCTGTGATTGGTATAGTGAGCCAATTAATCTTGCTTTATTTAGTTTTAGTTGAATATTTTAATGGTAAATGTTTGCCAATAAAAGGCGCATGTGAGGATGTGAGGTACATGTTCATCTCGATTTATGCTGCCAGTGAGGACAGAACCCACAATTCTCTGTTCTGTAACTTGAAGGTCTTACCAATGACTCCAAAAATTACTGTCTCTGGAGTGAGTTGTAACTATTGTGTCTTTCATGAACGGCTATTGTAGTGCCTCCACACCAATATTATAATAAAAAAATTTACCAGCATTACAAGAATATTTTTGTCCCCCCCAAATGAATTTTGTGTTTTCTTTCCAGCCAATATGAATAATAAAGAATACAGATTTCAGCACAAAAATCAAAAGAAATGTCATGATTATTTAGTATAGTATAATTATCATAATTAAATAATTACAATAATCTTTTATTACTGTATAGTTATTGTAACTAACAGTTAAGAAATTTATTTTTATTAGTGCATAATAATATACATACATTTAAGTTCAAAGATAAATATATAATATAATTATATTATTATTACAAGTCATAAAATATAGCAATTAGGTAATTGTAATAAAGTAACAATTATTACAATTTATCATTAAATTATATATATGCAGCAAAAATTATTTCAAAAACACTCACATTTTTACCATTATATAAATAAATAAATGCACAAAATTAAACACAATGTAATGAAACAGACACAATTAATAACAGATGATATTATTTTTAAGCTTAGATGACTTAAAAAGCAAATTTTGGCTTAATTCTGTGCTGTCTGAACATTGCGAAAATAAACGGAAAAAAATAAGAAGAGAAAAATCCCTATTATGATTCATGTCCATCCTCTCAATTTCATAAATAAATAGGTCCAAATAGCGCATGCATATTTGTGCTTATGGTCACAGCTGTGGTGGCCAAACTGTAGTAAAGTAGGAATCAAGAAAGCAAGCTATGAACTGATTAAAAACAATATTATGATGTTCAAAGTAGAAAGTCAGACTGTTGCCAACGTTATTGAATCCCATTATAGTATGACCGCTAAATTTATCATAGTATATTCTACAAAAAATATAGTACAATTAAGTATTATGCGGTATTATAATTGGAAATTTGTTTTTCTTATAGTTGTATAATTTATTTTACTATGCCTTGCCAAAGCAATTTCTCATGAAACATGAGCCACACTTCAAATGACTGTAAACTAATTTTCTGAAATTTTTATTTGTGAAAAGTATTGATATCATATCTCGTTTTGGCCCATTACTTTTTAAAAATAGGTTTCATAAAAAGAACAAACAACACAGGAGATTAAGTATTCAGTGAAGTTCATGCTTTCATATAATCTTTGAAAATAAGCCGACAGTCATTAAGACATGAGACCTAGGTATCAAGCTTTAGTTTACTTTACACTTAAACCTCTAGTGAATTTCCCTTACTAATGCACAGGCAGATGTACGTTATTCGATTATTGATGGTTATATGGCAGTAGGAGTAGTTTCCCAAATTACAATTTGATAATATTTTAAAGTAAGCTACACATTAATTAAAATTTATAAATAATCTGAGTTTGCATACTGATAATATTAAATTATAGTACAATGTAAGTACTACATCCTTTTAATTATTGTAAAAATACTATATTTAATGTATACTTGGCAATACTGAAACATAGAAATGGACAAATTACAAGCAACTCGATAAATAACACTGGGGATTATCCTAGTTTCTTTGCAGAAATAAAATTGCATAAAGGAAAACAATGCCAAATTGGTTGTCCCATTTGTGTAACAATTATTGAAATATAACTATTAATGTCAAGCATCAGCTGGTAGTCATATCCTTTCAAGAGGTACTGGTTCTGCGGATAAAATATATATCTAAGCTGAATTTAAAACATTCATATCTTTCTAATTTAAAATTATTTTGGATTCAATTTCCTTATTTTATTTTTCCAGAATTAAATATAATCTGGATTGGAAATGCCAGTTGTTACAACAGCATTTTATCTTTTCTCTGGTGTTCAATCTATCTAATCAATGTCCAATACTACATCTTTTCTTCTACTTAACACCCAGAGACCATTTCAGGTATCCCTGGGGTTACACATACCATAGACTCAGAAACGTTAATCTATAATATTAATTCAGGAACTGACATCAATATTAAAAAAGTTACATATTTTGGAATATGTAACTGTTATGAATTCCTCAGCATGCAATGTTTTCAGATAGCGACACTAATTTACAATTTACAATTTCATTTCAATTATATGATTATAAAGCTCCTAAATTAATTCAATAATACAACAAATTAAATTCTATTATCATTAACCAATAAAATTTAAGTTTATAAATACTAACATTTCATTTAGTATACTTCTGGCGCAGACAATTTTGTATTTAAAAAAAAAAAAAAAAAAACACTGAATAATTTTAATTAATTAATTAGCTTTTACAATTTTGTTATCAAAACCAACCTTCTTAGTTATAGAAAATTTGACGTAAATGAAGATAAAGTAAAAATAGCAGATAACATGGCAGACAAAAATTTACTTTTACAGGTATTTAAAAAAAATGAAAATCTGGTTAATATTTCTTCATAATTAAAAAAAATGCTTTCTATGTATTATTAATAAAGATTTATCATTGTCAGCTGATCTGGAAAGAACAACATACCAGATACAATCAATTCCACACTGTGGAAAGACTCAGTAACAGCGGTGATGGAATAATGGTTTGGGCTGGGATCTCTCTCGGTTGGTCACACTGACCTTCATGTCTTCCATGGAGGAAATTCAGCAGGCATAAGATATCGAGACGAGATCCTTGTTCAGTGTGTCTGCCCATATGCGCTGCTAATGATCCTCTGGTTTCTTCTAATGGACGACAATGTGCGACCGCACTGAGCTCAAATTGCTGAAGAATATCTTGAGGGTCACAGTATGAAGTGTATGGAATGGCCAGCTCAATCCCCAGATCT